TCAGAGGGAGAGTTAGTATCCAGAAGAGATAGAGAGACTAGTATACTGGACAAAGCATAGACACAAGAGAATCTATAGGAATCATGTTGATCAAGGAAGTCTCCTGCAGTAGATCAGAAGGAGGGTGTCAGGAAACAAGAACTCAACCATATCAGCTCCTGCTCAGGATACCATGTAGGCTGGAATTCAATTCATGGCCCCAAAATTGTAGTTGGAGAACCATCTGAAAGAAGGCCAGCTAGCAGGGGATTAACGCCACAGCCCAGTCCTGTGATGTGGAAGAACCCAAAATCATCAAAGAAACACTAGCCCTTGGAGCCCACCTAAGTATACAGAGAGGCTGGCTGGCAGCTAAGCTGTTGGGAATGAAATTGATTTGCTTTCTGGTCGTCCTATAGCAGTCAGTGAATATAGGAGAGCAGGAGTGGAAAACAGAGCATTCTTAAGCTTCACAACAATGGACTAGTCGCAGAAGGGGAAATAATGCACAGATGACTGTACTACTGCTGGTTACCTCTTTCCTCTGATGGACACTCATCACTAGCAGTTGGGCTCAGAAATCTGCATGTTTCACCAGAATTCGAAAAGGACTACAGCAACACTTCTAACCAAAAGCTCCTTTTATCTGTTTGTTAGACTTTAGAAGTTCACAAGTTTTATAGCATGAGAACAATGCATGGAAAGTTCTTGGCACTGAAGGCCCTATGGTCTCCCATCTCTCTGAAGTGTACAGGTCATGCTGTATTTGTGTACATGGTGCTCCCTGATGTTGTACAACATGTTTGCCCTTCATAAACAGGTTGATTTAATAGAAACGTCATGCTAGAGTTATCAGCAGATACTAAAGAGTGGAGCTAATGAGTATCAAAAGTGTAGCTTATTAAAGAGTTGCATAAAGGTGTGGTCACCTCCTCTGCAGGCAAATCATGGTTCTGCCCTATGTCTTACTGAGGAACTTGGACAAATTACTCAAACTCTGTGTCTCAATTTATTCAACTGTAACAATATGTATTTACAAGGCTGAAATGAGACTAAAATGACACTAAGTAATGGGCTCAGAAGTGTGCCTGGCACAGAGTAAACACTGTGAACACTTATTACCACTGTAGATTGCAGTAAGGATATTTTAAGCAGACTTGCATTAGCAACGTGGTAAAGCTTTTTGCGTCTGTGTTCCAGGATTGCTGAGAAGGCTGACATTTTTAGAACCAGTACAATGATACTTATTTCAGATGAACTCTGGGCCACTGAGAAATAGATTTATGGACACATAGGGAAGTATCAAGAGAGTAACTTACTTTTTCTTTCTGATGGGATTTGAAACAGACACATCTGCACATTTGAAGACTTACACCATGGAAGAAGTGAATGACCGCTTTATGTTTGTTTACACATTGCTGTGAGTGTGAAATTTGTAGAGTAAATGTGTATTTCTCTCGTAGTTCTAAAAATACACGAAATGTTTCCTTCATTTCCCCCTTTTCTCTTTGGTAATTTATGTGTTACTTTCCTCTCTTTGTCCCTGTCTCCTTTCACCTTCTTTCATAAATAATACACATCTTTTCTCTGTCATCCTAATGGGGTCATGGGGACTTTAAACTAAACTGATACAGCTATAAAGGGGGAAATGAGAGGCAAAGAATACCCCATAACTTTAGGAAGGAAAGAGATGTGGTTTGACTGCCAATGTAGAGGCAGCTTTGATTGGGGTGAAACATAGGAAAGATCCAAGAAAATCAGAGAAAACTATCACAGATCTCCTGGGCAAAGGGGAAAATGTTCCTGCCTGAGGATGGGAAGGAAAGAGTTGGGTAAAATATTTGAGTATCAACCAAATGGGGGAATACAGTGGAGCTCATCCAGGTGGAAGCACAGGCTTTGTAGGGGTCAAGGGCAGCAACCCCCAAATGTGCCACTTTGGCATAGAAACAGCCAGTGCAAGACCACTCTGACCTCCCTTTTTTCCTCTGAAAGCAGAAAATAAATCTCACGTGTGAAAGGTATCTTCCCCAAACCAGGAGGTAAAGAGAGAACTTTATTGCCACAGAGGGAATTCAGGGCAAAGACAGCTGTAAACAAACCTTGTTACTTTCACTAACTTACCAATCAAAACTTTTGAATATACATTTTCTTTGTCCTACGAACTCCTCACAGATTTATTGTCACTTTGTCTAAAAAGTATGAAAACAGCCTGCCTTTGTCATTTTATTTAGGTCTCAATTTCACTATTAGGCCTCTGTGTGTATGTAATTAAACCTTTTTTTGGCTTCTGTTTTTTTCTGTTAACCTGTCTTGTGAATGATTCTTAGACTAGCGGGGATAGACTTAAAGGGAAAAAGAAAATTTTTCCTCCCCAATAGCGACTTGCCAGGGCTGGAATGAGGGTAAGGATGAATGGAGACTGCACTCACACAGTACACACATTTTAAAGGTCCCGTGACAAGTACAGCATTAAAAGCATACCTGTGCCTTCCTGGCAGGGAGGAATGTTAACTCAAGACTGTGAGTGGGGTAAATGGGGAGCAATGGGCTTTCTCTGTGCAAGCTACTGCAGAGGCAGCCTTGGGAAAGAGCAGCCTGAGTATTATTTCACAGTTCCCAGAAATTAGGCCCTGATGGATTTGACCCGTGCACTCCATTTTGCCCCGCCCCATCGTGTACTGAGACTTTTTGTTTGTGGGTTCTGCAGGTGACCTGAAGACAAGGTTCTATCCCCTATACTCAGACTGATTTCTTTGCTTTCCAAGGATACTGATGCTCACATGCTGGCCATGAGCCAAGGATACAGTTTCCATGTGGGTGGTATTTAAAGGCTATGATGTTTAAATACTACCAACACTATACGATATTGGATTTAGAAGGATCTAGTCTTCATGTGAACACTGCAGAAGGACACTTAGGATATGTTTCAGGTTCTGAGAAGCACCACTGAGAAGCAGAAAGAATTGGGAAATTGGTGATGAACAAAGGGAGTGCAGGAACTCAGTGGAGAAGCATAGAGAATAATTGTGACACTCAATGTAATGTATACAAAGGGAGAAAATCACAAAACAAACCGAGGGTAGTCCAAAAATTATGGAATATTACAAAGGATGTAAGGGAAGAGAAGAAGGACAGTATGCCTCTGGTAAAGCAGGAACTCAGCAACTACAAAAGAAAAGCTGTTAGTGTGGGGAAGTTGGGGTTTCTATGGCCAGGATTCTCACTGAACTTAAACCACCTGATGATGTAACTGGCCTGTTGCTAGGCTACCGCTTCCACACCTTTAGGCAATAAGCTATTATTGCGCTACATAGAGAGCTTGGCCCAGTGCTCTGCACGGAGGCAGAGACGCTGGTGCTCGACCTACCGCCGGAGAACAAGCCAGATAATAAACGCTTTCACCCCAAAGAACGTTTTGCTGTCCATTTCTTTGGTCACACTGAATCCATAGCGAACTTGCACGGGGCTGAAACCCATTGGAAGGACAGTTTTCTTTGCCTAACATGAATCCAATCTAGAGGAATGAACTAGCATTCATGAGCTAAAAAGAAAAATACGATTATTTTTTATTTTAATGGCTCTTAAGAGGAGAACTATAAAATACCAGCATTATGCACTGAACCTCACTGGAGGAATATGAACACTGACAAGAAGAAATAGTAAAAAAAGAGCGTCAATGTTTCACTGTGGTTTATGTGTAATACACTATGATTAAAGATGGAAAATAATCTGACTTTTGTGGACATAAGACCTTATTATAGGTGAGATTCTCCTGTGACCTGCAAGAGAAGTTGTTGCATAGGAAACAAACAAGACTGGAGAAAGAATGGCTCACAAAATATGCATACATGCTGTGTGTATTTGGGGGAGAAAACTGCAAAAATGAAATCGCATTAGGCTAGTAAGAAAAAACGTCATCTAAGACCAAGGTAATACTTGGTACTAATGAGAAAAATATCACAGAACAGATACTTCTCTAAGGAAGATATATAATTGGCAACAAGCCCATGAAAAGATTGTTAATATAAGTCTTCAGGGAAATATAAATCAAAGCTGCAATGGGATATTACTTCACTCCCACTAGGATGGCTGGAATCAAACAGTCAGATAACAACAACTATTGGCAAAGATGTGGAGAAATGGTAACCCTTGTACGTTAGTAATGGAAACATAAAGAAACAGTTGGGCCTTTTCTCAAAGGATTAAACATAGAGTTGCTATTGGATCCAACAATTCCTTTCTAAGGTAGATCCCCAAGAGAGATCAGAACATACATCCACACAAATCCTTATACACAAACATTTCTAGCAGCATTATTCATAATATTGATGCCAGTTCTTGTTCACAGAGTGGAAGAATGAACTTCCCAAACAGTCAAGCTAGGAGAGCAAGGCAGAGATTTTTATTTAGAAATAAAGCAAAAGGACAGAGCTCCTGAGCCAGGAGGGGACAAGAGAGCCCCTGGGTGGTGGGTTGTCTAGGGGTTTTATAGGCAGTTGAGAGACTAAGGGCTAGGGATGTACACCTGCTAAGGGGTCCTAAATGTTTACCCTTTGAAGAAACATTAAGTTTCCTCTCTTGATTTCCTTCTAGGATAGCAGCTTCCTGGTCTGGGAGCATATCACCCAAGACTGCCTGCTTTGCTCCCAAGGTGGGCTGAGTTATTGACTGTTAAGAAACTTTGTAACTAATTGGGGTTTAAAATGGAATCCTTCCTGTTTTTACTATGTTGTTTTGGGCTTGCTTGCTATATTGCCCAAGTTTCAACAAATCATTTGTTTAGGGCTGGAAGAAGAAAAGCAGCACCTGGGAAAAGTTAGAAAAATAAGTTGGCACCCTCCCCAGCAAGCCAAAGCAAATATCTTGCTTTGTTTTTCTCCAGAGGCCCTCACCCTATTCTGTCTATGCCTGTCGTCCCTGTCTCAATATTATATTCAAAAGATGAAAACAAGTTTAACATTCAACAGAAAAATGGATAAAAGTTCGGTATATTGGCCCACAACTTCCTGGTCACCTAGGGTTGGGAGGGGGGGGGGCCCTGGGAGGGGGGGGGCCCTGCTGGCCTCCCAGTCTTCCCTCGGGAATGCACGGGGCGGGGCAGAGCCGTGTGGGCCGGACAGAGCCCTGCAGGCAGGCCAGGCACCCGGCCCGACTTGGGTGGTCCCCTGGGCCGGGAGCGACAGGTGCCTGGGCTGCGTCCTCGCCGTCGTAGTCTAGCTGGTGCCCAGCGCCGGGATTGCGGAGTGAGGGCCAGGAGCCCCGTGCCTCGGCTGACCCCAGGAGGTGCCGGCAAGGCCCACCCCAGCACTCTGGAGGCGACCTCCTTTCTGTATCAGTTACATCAAACAAACCAGCTCCTAGATGGTAACTGTAATATTATTCTTTATTATACTTGGGAAAATATTACCAAATATCTTAGCACTAGGAATGAGAAGAAAAAACACCTATCAAAATTTTACAGAATATTTTTGCATTTCACTAGCATTCATTAATCTTTTACATTAGGTAAACATTTCCATTATATCCTATTTAAGGGATTTTGTACTTTTAGGCATTAGGTTTACTAAACACCACATCTGCCTGTTTACTCAAATTATTTCTTTTACTTTCAGCATTTTGCATTATCCTGTTTTCCTGATAGCTTGTATAGATTACTGCCTGAATTTCTCTAAAACCACCAAGCTTCCATTGAAGTGTCAAAAATTATTTTATTTCTTTACAGTAATTTTAATTTGGATTTCAGTCCTCACTTATTTTTTAGGAGATCCAGCTATCTACCAAAGCCTGAAAGCACAGGATTTTTATTCTTATCAATGTCCTTCCTACATTAGCATTCAGAGTTACTGGCTGTCATTTTCCATGGTGATGGTTTTATTTATGGCTTTTATAACCTCTTGGTCAGAAGTTATTGCCTTGGTACAGGCTGTTAGGATAGCTTCCTATATGAATGAGATTATCCTATATTTTCCCTTTTCATCTCACTCTAGTTATACTACGAGCTCTAAAAAAAAAACACTCTTGCTCAAGTTCATTATCTGTTTTTTCGGTACATGGTCACCATTTGTACTACTTCAAGTAATTATCCTCTTACTTAAAGTACAGATTCCAGTATATATTGAGTTAAATGTTCTATGGTTGTCCTTTGTTAATTGTTTCCTCGTTGCCACAATGTATTGGTTTAATTGTCAAAAGCTTGACTTGAGAGACTGCATTACCTGGGGATCCGTTTGTCAACTGGAAATGCTGCTTCATTCCATTTACAATTCCTAATTTTGAGCAAATTGAAAAGCTTTTATCAATAATAATTTGTTAATATGTTGCCACATTAAAATTAAAGCTTATACCTACAGTAAAAACCATGATTTTATAATGATTAGTTACAACATAAAAAGAATGAAGGGGGAACCTAGTAAACATAATGTTCTTCATGTAATTGTACATCAATGATACCAAAAAAAAAAGAATAAACTGAAGCTTTCCCCCAACTTCTGCACTCCCACTTCCATATCTTTTCAGAATGTGTCTTTTGGGACTATGTTATTGGTTTTTTGTTTTTTTTTTTAAACAAAATAATTCCAAGAAAAATGTCTATACCTGTTCAGGAAAAATGCATGTTACATATATTAATACAAAAGTGAAATGAGTTCAACATTTGCTTACTGATGTTTGTGTTGCATACCCTAAAAACTGTATGCAAACTGTTAGGTACATCTGAAATTTGCTGCCAACTTATAATAAGACCTTAAACATTTTTATTAAATTCAGAGCAAGAAAATCAGGATCATTTTCTTAAAATGATTTCAAATAAATATTCTTCAATGTAAGGAGGAGATGAGCTCAATTAAAATTAGCTAATTTTTTAAATATCTGTTTTTAATGCACGTATTCCTGGAGGAAAACATTTGGTTACTTACTTACAGAATTGGGAGTAGTGACTAAGATCTCTTTCCATGACATACCAGATTCATTTTCAGTTATAACTTACATGTCATACTTGCATGTCAGATCATAATCACATGGGAAATGTATCACACTGTAAGGTTGGGTTTCTTATCCTCAGCACTGTTGACACTTTGGGTTGGATATTTCTTTGTTGTTGGGGAAGGCTGTTCTGCGTATTGTAGGATGTTTGGCAGCATCCCTGCCCTCTAGCCAACCGCTGGATGCCAGTAGCACCTCCCTTTCTCAGTCACAGCAATCAAAATGTCTCCAGACATTGCCGAACTTCCTCTGCTGGGCACAACTGGCTCCTGCCGAGAACTACTGAAGTAAAGCAATCTGAAAGGCAGAATAATCTGATGTCATTTTGTTAATTAAACTATGAGATATGGCCTAATCTGTCAGTTTCTAAACCTGGCCCTTCTATGCTTTTGTGTTACTATTCCCCTGAATGTGTTTGTTGCTAATTGGCCATACCATGGGATTGAGATATTTTAAAATATACTTAATTAGTAAATCAGTAGATTTTTTACAAAGTAAATATTTACTCTGTGTATTTTAAATCAGGCAAATTTATAACTATAACTATTTCAAACCCTTTGTTAAGCTTTTTGTTTACTTATAAAAAAAATTTGGTATATTACAAACGGGAGGGGTGGGGGAGGGTGGGTGGGGAGGGAGGGAGAAGGGGATTGAGGGGTATTATGATTAGTACACATGGTGTAGGGGGGTCGTGGGAAAGACAGTGTAGCACAGAGAAGACAAGTGGTGACTCTCTAGCCTCTTACTATACTGATGGACAGTGACTTCAGTGGGGGTATGTGGGGACTTGATAACATGGGTGAATGTAGTAACCACAGTGTGAAACCTTCATAAGAGTATATATCAATGATACCTTAATAAAAAAAAACCTAAAAAAAAGAAATTGGGGTATATCAGGCTGCTCCTCTCTGAGGTTGCCCGTATTCCCATCTGAGTGTGTACTGTCTTATATAATAAACCTCTTGTTGCATTAAAAAAAAATTGTGGCATAGCTATACAATGATACAATGAAATAGTATTTGGCCATAAAAAAGAATTAAGTACCAGTACATGCTACACCATAATTGAACCTTGAAAACATGCTAAGTGAAAAAAGCCAGTCAGAAAAGACCACATACAGTATGATTTCATATATATCAAAGTGCAAAATAAGGAGATATATTCAGACAGAACACAGCAGCTTCTTTGGACTGAGGAAGGAGTGGGCGATTGCTAAAGAGCATGGGATCCGTTTCTGAGGTCACACAAAAACATTCTGAAATTGTCATTGTGATTGCACATGTCTGTGAATATACTAAAGACTATTGGCTTGTACCCATTAAATGTGTAACTTGTATATGAATTATATCTCAAACTTAAATAAGTAAGTAAATAAGCAAATAAATCAATAGAAAAGTTGGAAAGAAGACATTAAGATGTTTGGAAAAAATAAGCTAATAAAATTTTCGTATTTCTTTGCAACAGATAATACAATTACAGGGGAAAACATCTCAACAACAATTTTGTACATAAACTATCAAAACAGAAACATTTAAAAGAAATTGTAACCCCTAAAAATCTCCAGGCCAGGATGACTGTATTGGAAAATGTTTCCAAACATTTAAAAAAGAACACCAATTTATACAATCTTTTTAAACAAAATAATAACAGGAGGGAATATTTTCCTACTCACTTATCAGAGTATTTACTTGATATCAAAACAGGACAAAGATAGTTAAAAAAAAAAAAAGAAAGAAAACTATAGACCAGTATACTTCATGAGATAAGACACAGAAATTCTCACCAAAATATTGTGAACCTGAAGATATTCTATCAGCATTTTCTAGATCTATAGACTATCAATTATCTCAGTTTTTGTCTATCTGAGAATGTTTTTATTTTACCATCAACTTTGAAGGATATTTTTGCTGAATATAAAATGGCACAGGGAGGTGAGCAAAGCTGTGAGTGCTCCCAGGTTGGATCCTGTCCACGGATGTACAACCTAGGTGTGTACAACATCACACAACTGGAATGATAACAAAAGCCCGTGGAGAGGTATTGGTAATGGTGGTAACGAGGATTCATTAACTCTAAACCACAATCTTTTAAAGTTTTTTTTTTAGGAGGCATTGAGAAACTGCATGGCATTTATAGATATGATTTACTATCAAATGGGTTAAGTATGATTTGTTTTTGCCATAGGAGAAATAAAGACTGATTGTGTATTTTAGGCTCAGATTTTTAAGAACTATTCATATTGCACCAAAAGTTTGGACTTTATTCTATGAAACTATAGAAGCAGTATCTCAGAGGACAGACATAATACTATGTTGTATCATAAAAATAATCCTGAAAGCAGCTTTTAGGATGGTGCGGGTAAAATTGCAATATTCCCAGAATCTCTTGCCTGCTTTAGTGCATCTGCATATCAACAGGTGTTTCCTAGGGGTGGGAAGAGGTAGTCCATCTCCATATCAATGGGTAATTACATGGGCGAGTGAGAGGACTGGAGAGAATCTTCTCTGTGGGAATCTTTTTCCACCGCAGCAGGAGAGAGAGAGAGAGAGAGAGAGAGAGAGAGAGAGAGAGAGAGAGAGAGAGATGTGGAGTGACTACTTGTAAGTAATAAGCGGGTTTTAAACTTTTTTCCTCCCTTTGACTGATTGCGGTTTCAAAGGTTTTTTGGCCCCAGGGTTTCCCCCTCCCTGGATTTACAGATGGGTAGGAAAGAGAGCAGACAGGAGTCAGGGAGATCAGATTATGCTTTGACTTTTTGCTTTTAACATAAACTCAGAGTGAAGAAACCAAAGCCAAGGTATGGTAATGATCACTGGAAAGCAGAACAGAGGGTTAGAGATATATTTTGGAGGGTGATCTGACAAGCATTAGTAACAAATCAGTTTTGAAGTATATAGGGATGTTTCTAATGCAAATGACTAAGTAATTAGAATGCATTAATTGATGTATGAAATAAGCAGAAGAGCAGGCTTCAGAGATGTCAGTCACCCCACATTCGATGCTATTTAGCTGAACTATGTGATTACATTTGGGATTCTCACTGAGGGGAGAGGTCAGAAATGGAGATCAAAGTAGATGTGAGAACTTTTTTTAAAATGTACAATTGCATTTGTATGAGAAGAGTATGTTTCAGAAGTAGAAAACAGACTAGAAACAGGAAAAAGCTGACAGTGTCCTGGGGACAACAATATTTAAGAGGCAAGATGAAGAAAATGATTAAGCAAAAGAAATTGAGAAAGCCAGACAAGCAGACAGGTAGGTGACAGTAGTACACTGGAGGCCATGGGAGGAGTGCCAAGAAATGGGGGTGGTGAACAAAGTCAAGGGGCTTCCCACAGTGGCACCTTGCTCCATGATTAGTCATGCAAGGAAGGCAATTCACTGCATTCTTAGCTCAGGGTTATGGGTGTCTCTTTAAAAATATTCTTGTAGATACTTTAATCTAAAAAACTGGTGCCCTAATAGTATTTTACATATTTAGAATGGGGTATTAGGGAAGCTTGAAATGTTCAAATTAAACCTGAGAGCAAGGCTTACTTCTTACACTACTAAGCAGAGTTGGCTATCTTGATCACTTTTATTGGATTTTTTGACAGGGAATCCCTGTCCTAAACCAATGAGAAAAAACAGCTTACTTTATGACAGCTTGACAAATAGAGAGCTTCCTCGACGCCATTACTGAAGTCAGGAAAACATTGTTAATCTTCCTTCCACTACTATTCTTATTACTGGTGCGTATCTCTCAAGGTGGTGACTGGCAACCCCTTCATTCCAGCATTCTTTCTCTAAGCAAAGGCTTTAAATTGAAGAGACAAAGAATGTGGAAGATCATTTAGACCAGGGTTAATAATTCTGGAAACACTTTTGTTGCTATTTAGATATCTTCTGGTGCAACATAATGGTCTTCTAGATGAGATAGAGATCTCGGACAAAATCCATCTCATATAGAGCCAGGCTGAATCTCAAGAGAAATAGCATCCTTTATTTTCTTTTTCCTCAGTTGAACCATTAACCAGATGCCCCATTCCCTGGCCCTGCCAGATAAGAAAACTCTCTGTAATTAATTATAATAAGAGCTTAACCATTTAAAATAACTTGAAAGGTAATAATTATCCTCACTACATTGAGGACTCACCTACATTTAAGACAAGCTCTTGGCAGTGGGTGCTGTGATAGGGGCAAAGCTGTAGCATTTGATGAGCTTGAGATTGGAGAGTGGGATTTCTGATAAACACATTTAGTTTCCAAGGTGACACAGAATGTGCTGAGGAACTGCAAAGGCCTTTGCTTCTTTCTTAAAAGGCACAAATTCAGAACTACAGGGGTCAATCC